GATGTGCTTTTCAGCCATCAGTTACAGGGAGGGTTTTACGAATCCCAGAGAATCCCAGAGTAAAGAACCGCTTGTGACACTGCAGTTAAAAATTGCACTATGTCCTCATGTATCATTTCTCCAGTATTTAGTCAACATAGGCTCACTGTAAACTAGCGTGCAGGCTTGACACACGAGACTTCATACACTATTGTGTAGAATATGGATCTAAAGGCCTTTGATAGTGCAGAAAAGTTCAGAATATGATATAACTGACTTCAAAAACATTCTTTGAGGCACCATGCAAACATCACCAAACATTTACACACTCTCTCTCTCTCTCTCTCTCTCTCTCTCTCTCTCTCTCTCTCTCTCTCTCTCTCTCTCTCTCTCTCTCTCTCTCTCTCTCTCTCTCTCTCTCTCTTTCTCAATAAAACCTTCATGTTTGTTCATGCACCAGCATTGTGCGTAACAAAGGATGACTCATAGGGTGGTTATAAAAAGCACACCTTTACAATTATCAGTTTAGCCTTTGAACCTGTAATTTTGCTATAATGGCACCAGTATAATTGTGACTAAAACATGACAGAGACTGTGGAGTCTGGCAGGCGTCAGTGCAAGCACTGTAGTCACGTTTTGTTCGCTTGGCACTCTCTCCTAATGCCCTGGGGTCTGTTGTGAAACCTGTAGCGTTGCACCAGAGATTTGTATGGACACCTGATTCTTGCTCAAACCTGTAAACGCTTCATTAAACCTCACACATTAGCTTCTTCGTGTCATATGGCGTTGGCATCGGTTATTTGTGATGTGACTTACGTAAGTGCGCCTTTTGATCACTGTTGAACAAACTTTAAAAGGCATTGACAAGGTTTTCCAAGGTTCAGAGTCGGAATTTGAGCTTTGAATCATTTGTCAAGAGCCAAAATTATAACTAGGCCTATTTTTTTTCTCTCTGAAGAGATAAAGCAGAAAAAGCAAGACAAGTGAGCAAAGCTCGTGCCAACTAAAATACGAACATCCTGCCTCCCCATTCTCTCTCTCTCTCTTTTCTCCACACACACATACATGCTCAATCTCTCTTTCTGTTTTGAAGAGTGCTCAGCGGTTGTGTTATGACAGAGATTCTTTTGTTTGGATTATGAGGCAGAGGAAAGGGGAACAACAAGCCTTACTGCTGTTTTTACTGTCAGATAAACAATATTTTCATAAGGTGTTTCTCATCCTCTCAGATCAGAGAGAGATGACTGATTGAGACATGCAGGATCTGTTTCCAACTAACACAAACACTCAGTGTGTCCAGCTCTCCTCCTGACGCTTGTGGAAATGTGTGACACTGCAAGGCTCTTATAGCTTGATGTAAAACAGCATTATGAAGCTTCAGCTATGAAATGGTCTTTGCTTTTATTATGTGTTGCACTCATTAATATGCAAATAAGAAAGAGACAACATAATTAGTTTGAGTTAACAAAATGCAGGAACATCATCATTTTCATTCAAATCATGACCAAATCCGAGAAACCGGTTTTAGACCTGTCTTAACATTTAAAGGTCATCCCTAACATACCATAGCAAGACAAACACGTTTTTTTCTAAATAAAGATTATATACTTTTATTATAATTAGAAATTACTACACACTAACTACATTTTGGATGTGATTTTGATGTATATTTATTTTTAAATGACATTTTAATCATTCTATCAGATAAAGAATGTCATATTAAAAGTTTTAATACAGTGCACTCTGCCATTTTAAGCAAATTTTTAATTTAGGCCTATATTGGGATATACCAAAATCAAACACATAATAGACACTTTTAAGGAGGTTCCATCCTGAAAATATGATGTCAAGGTCTAGTTATGATGGTCTTTTTAATATAGCATAAATGTCGACTTAAATCTAAACATGGGCAATAGATTATTTTCATTTAATTTACTTTAATTAATCGAACCGTTTAATATTTATTTAATAATTGATAACTTTTATCGTTGATAACATTCAAGGAGCTTTTATTCATATATTTAGAAAATTTGACCATTGAGGGACACACGTAAACAAAACCTGAAACATTGTTGCATCTCTAATTAAAGATAATTTGAGCCAATATGCAAACATAAAGCACTGGTTGAATCTGTCAAGCATCATGTTGTCTTATTAATGTTATGAGCCAGCCGCAGATGACTGTGGTCACGAGGAGAAAACATGAAGACCCGCATAATGGTGATTTAACGATTTAACCCACGCACCTGCACTAATAACAAGGCACGATAGTCATGAAAGGTATTTCATCATCACTTAACCTAGACTGACAACACCCAAGGAAAACGGATGGCATTTTTTCGTCAAAATGTTCGTCATAGTGAGGGTAAAGATGGGTTAAAGGTTAAATCGAGAGTCGAACTGACCGGCATGACCATAGGGCATGACGAGGTCCAGTTTAGGACAGCTGTCTGAAAAGATGCCTGAGAATCTGTTAACACTAGTGTACTGCTGCACCCTTGTGGCCAATTTGAAGAAGTGCATATAGCTATAAATAAAATGTACCTGGTCAAATATAGGAAAACATAGATATGTATGTATATAAAATACAAATAACATTTTATATTATCATAAAATATCAAAGTGTAAGATATTACACATTCATCTGGTGGTGTCTAAGGAAGTCTATAGGCTAATACCTGAGGAAAGGTTAGCATTCTCATTATCAGCTGCACGGCTGGCATGTAAAGTATGTGACTATAGGCACTCATGGTGTAAAGTATGTGACTAGGCACTCAAGACCACTTGCTGACTTCAAAAGCCGAAAAATGCTGCCTCGGAGTTAACAGCCAAAGGCAACAAGCCCATTTCAAGCATTTGCGATCCCTTCAAAAAAGTTGTTATTGACAAAACATCTACTATAACATATTAAAATATGTGCAATTTATATATTGCTTGCAAAAATAAAATTCGGTTGCACTTTATTTTACAGTGTACGTTACAGTGTAGCCACTTACCAAGCACTTGATAAAATAAGGTAAATTAAGGTTAGGTTTAGGCCAGGGTTAGTATCTAGTTATTGCAATTACTATAATAAGTTCATAATATGTACACGGAGAACATGACTGTAAAATAAAGTGCTACCTAAAATTCGTTTGGAAATTAAATACAGTTACCTCTGAATGGCTGATAATAAAGAAATAGAATAGTGCAGTTCTGGGATCTACCAGCTAGGCTAGTAAAATTCCATAAAAAAATCGGTAACACTTTACAATACGGGTGCACTAATAAGCATTAATTCATGCTTAACTAATGCACAGATAATACTGAATTAATGTGTAACTAATGATTATCTAAGCTATTCATTAACAATTACCACATTAGGAACTAATTAAGAGTCTGTATGGTTAATGTATTAGTTCATACATGAATTGTTATTAATTAAACATGTAATTGTGGATTAATTCCCTAATAACTCATTTTTTTAACTAATAGTGTTAATTAATATGTTAATTACCAGAATGAGCCAAAGCCTTGTATTTCAACTTCCAGATAATACAGGTACACATTAATACATGATTAATTACTTCATTGTTAGGGCAAATTCATGTGTAAATTACTACAATTACTAAATGACTAGTTAATAATGATGTGCCTCAACAAGTAAAGTCATAACATAATGATACCTTTGCAAATCATTAGCTAATGATTAATTTAAGCAGACAACTGGAAGTTGAAGTGCATAGCTTTGACTAATTGTGGTAATTAACACATTCATTTACACTATTAGTCAATAAAATTTGTTATTAAGGAATTAATACACAATGACACGTCATTGAATTAATAGCAATTCATGTATTACTTAATCTATTAATCATATAGACTATTTATTAGTGGCTGATGCAGTAATAATTAATTAATGGTTTAGTTCTTCATGAATCATACATTAACTCATGATTATCTGTGCATCAGTTAAACATGAATTAATTAGTGCACCCGTATTGTAAAGTGTTACCAAAAAATCTGCACACTGATAAATGTGCACACAAATAAATCCTATATCCTTGTAGTATTTTTGTAAAATCAAATTCTAAAAATCCATCCATGTTCTGTTCGATCTGTTATTATCATTCTATTCTATTCAACGAGCTGTTATATGTTTGGGCTTATGTCTTAAAAAAAACAAGTATTTTCTCTACATACAAATCGGTGCTTTTATTCATGCCTTTTTCTAACATATACTGTATTTATATATAAATTCACAGTTAGATCCATATAAAACTGAAATGTTTACCATAACATCATTTACAGATACATCATTGTAGAAGAGAAAAAATAAAAGGAATGCCCATTTGACGTTCATTTACACACATGATTTTTAGTCAGTGGGTTCCCTGTAAAATACTATACATTTTGGCATCACATATTTATGGACAGAAGGGTGCAAATCTCAGAATACAGAACAAATATATGACATACAATACAAACAAACAAAAATTAGATACCACATGGTAAAGACTATAAAATATACAGACATCTGCTACACTAGTTTTGTGCACAAATGATGCAAGGAAAGTTTAAAAAGGTGTGAGAGAATGTCTCTCTCATATGACGAGTCCCGAGAGGACAGAACACTACATTAATGGTACGGCCGTCTCCTCACATTCAGTTTTATATATATATATGTATATATATATAAACAACAACAACAACAACAACTTCAGATTTCATAATAAAGTGATAACTGGAGCCCATGCAGAGTTTGAAGCTAAAAAGTGAACTTGCAGTAAATGCATTGTTATAATGTCATTATGTTTGTTTGTCTAATGTGTTTGTGCCATTATTGCCATGCCATTATTACCCTGCAAATTGTAAATATATATATATTTTTTTTTTCAAAGTGACTTTTATTTGCAAAATGCAAAACCAAATCGTGCACAGGCTTAGGCTACTCTGCAATGCTTTTTAGACAAAAATAAGTATTACAAAATGAATTCTAAATATGTTTAAAACTTTTGTGAAATGAAAAACTGCAATTCCATGAGTAAACCTGAAGGCAAACCTGAAGGTTTGGAGAATCAAATACATTTAACAGCAAATGGCTTTTAATAGTTCATTAGTACAAGACTCCTTCATGAATAAACCTCACATAAAAGTGCAGAAGATAAACAATATGAGGGAAGGCAGATCTCATCTTCCTGTCCTAACTCCCATGTCCTTCACCTCATTATTGTTGTGCGGGGAATCATTCCAGACCTTCTGCATGCGACACTGGCAGATAGAGACCCGCTCCGTCTGCTTATATTGTCCATCAAGTGTCTTTTTCACACTATGCATGTCTGTGGGACGTGTCTGCGGCGGTGGAGGGCGAGGTGGTCCGAGCGGGAGAAGCTGCGGTCGCAGTCGCTGCATTTGAATGGTTTAACACCGGTGTGTTTGCGGTAATGCCGTGTCAGCTCGTCAGAGCGAGCGAACTTCCATGTGCAGTTGTCCCACGTGCACTTGTATGGCTTTTCACCTGAGAGAGAAAATACGGAAATATCAATAAAACACCTGACTTTTTATGGAACAGGAATATAACGTTTTTAAAAAAGATGACAGGCTCACCTGTGTGTGTACGTCTGTGGGCTTTAAGATGAGAGCTCTTGGTGTAAACCTTATTACAGCCCTCAAACTCACACCTGTGAATGCGTCTTCTCTTTGAGTCGGGCGACTCTGAAGGCCTGGGCCTCCGCAGACTCTCAATACTGAACGGCAACAGGGAACTGCAACGACAGCATGATTTCTAACGTTATTAAAAGCAAGGACAAATACAATTTTGTTAAGCATGATAGTCTATTTTAGTTGTTTTTTTAATGCAGGATGACAGGCAGAAATAATACATTATTCATAAATAAATTACAATCCTATACAATTATTTATGTAAGTCCACTTTATATAAAGTGCCTGTACGCCGATTTCACAGACAAGGCTTAAGTCTAGACTAAACTGCATATTTGAGCAACATTTGAAGTGGTTTCATAAAAGTTCATCAAAGTTGTCCTAAGACAAGAACGGGTATTGTTCAAAATTCATGTACAACTTTGATGAAAGTTTTTGATCCACTTCAAATGTTGACTAGCCTACTGTATTTTAACTGAAAGCATCTTGCACTGACATATCTTAAAATATGTCAGTGCCATTGTTTTGTCTCAAGATGCACACCAGAAATGTTTTAAAAAAAAGCTACTTAAACGTCCTCCTAATTAAACTAAGGCCTAATCCTGGCTTAATCTAAGCCCCGTCGTTGATACAATGCATTTACTGTGTACATGCATGTTTTTACATTGTACTTACATTTAAAAAATACCTGCATGTAATAACAGCTGTAATTCATTTCTGAAATAGCATTTATAATGCTGTTGACCCTTCCTTTACACCTTAAGTTGAGAGTTGTCGTTCAGACCACACAACTTTGCGATGCTGTTTGTGAATGTTCGTTGGAACTATGGTTTCGGGAAACACTGACTCGTTGAACTATGCTTATAACGACAGAACTTGCGACCATAGTTGGCTAGCAATGCTTTTGGGAAACATACATTTATGGTTAAAGACTTTTCTGGGGTAAGACTTTAAATGGCCACTTGAGGGAGCTATAAAGGAATCAATGGATGGCAAATAGACAACATCAGACATGTTCTAAATGTCTATTTTAACGCCTGACATGAAACCTCCTAGAGACGTATTGCAGATGAGCAAACACTAAAAAACACGTCTTACAGAAGTGAACATCTCTGAGATGTACGTGTGCTATCAGGGTGGTTTCCAGGCGAGATGTTTCATTTTTTCAATGTTATATGTTTTCCCAGCTTAATATGTTCAGTTTGGTGGCGCTAGTGGTTTAGAAATGACACACTATTATTATTATTTACATTATAATATTTTCTCAGTTAATGCTTAAATGAGAATATTAATTGTTTATTTGATGAAAACCAATGCTTTTACTGTGTTAATATATGTTGTGTCAGGGAAATCTGCCTGTTCTTATCCCATCTTAAATTTGATTTAAATTATATATATATATATATATATATATATATATATATATATATATATATATATATATATATATATATATATATATATATATATATATATATATATATATTGTCAGATAAATTAGATTTTTCACTGGAAATATTTTCTGTGTGGCAGCAGAGGCATTTTCACCCCCCATAGAGCCACTTCCTGTTTCTTTTGGTCTACAGGAGTGCAGTATGTGTGTGTGTGTGTGTGCATATTCATGTGCAGGATGGGGGGCATTGTGGGGGCACCTGTAGCCTTTGGCACACTCCATCACTTTTGGGGCCCCAAAGAGGAAAAGAAAGAAAGAAAACATCCTAGATCTTTTCTCCTCCATTAAACAATATCTACATTTTTTAAAACACTGTCACTATTTTCCACATTCCATCGTGTGGAATTTTTAGTCGTCCGAGGTCAGAGGAACTCCATCTAGAGTGTGTTACAGTAAGAATCAACGTTAGATTGTTGTCAATGAGAGAAGCAGGGAGGGAAACAGCAGCTGCCATCAGACTAAACTCAGCACAGTCATTTATGTTCCGTCTTTTGTTTGTATGTTTCCCAGTGGAGAACACCAGAGGGGCTTTCCAGTGGTGGTGACGTGCAGGCCAGCATCACTGTCTGGGGATCAGTTTATCAGAAAAATAAAGGTAAGAATGAAGTCCATTCATTATTGACTAGCTGACCATGGGTCAAGGAATATATAAACCTGCATCGACTCCTGCACCTGTGTCCACAACACATTCAACCTAAAGCATGCACTCCCTCTGAGACTGAGATCACTTCATTCAGCTCAACTGGTTTAACAAGGTCATGTGTTTGATTTCCAGGGAACGCAAGATGGCTAAATGTGTACCCTGAATACGCCATCTGACAAATATACTGTAAAAAGTGATCAGTTGACTTGTGGAACTGTCAAGTTCACCTAACTTTTTTTCATTTTAAGGCAACAGGTTTCCTCACATTTTCTTTTTTTTTTTGAAGTCAAGTCAACGAATCACTTTTTACAGTGTACATAAACTTTACATATTTAAACCTAATTATAATACGTAAAATAATTTCACAGTAATTAAGGAAAAAAAAAACATTAGCATATTTATTTATGAATAGTTTTTCCCAATTAAAGGTGTCTTAAACAATCTGGTGGTTTGTCAGATTTCAAATTTTGCCAACAAACTGTATATAAACTATATATACAAACATGAATCACTGGATCAAATTCGCATTGATTGAAGAACCAACAGGTCAAATCAGCAACTCTCTCTCACACATTCTCTTTCACAATAATATTCACTCCTGCACCTTGCTATAAATCATACTGGCACCTTTGTCCTTCCCAGACACATTTAGACAATTCTGCCAGCCTTTTAGCCTCTGTCCCTACTTGCAGTCACGGGGAGAAGTTTATTATAAATAAGCTATAGATTTTTCTAGCTATAGCTCGCAAACAAATAAAGTATAGGTGCCGCATACAATTGTCTATTCAATTCTTCATTAAAGTGCCTCAATTATGGTATTTTAAAGGTTCCTAATTTTGTTTGAGAGGTCTCCAACAACAGGTTTTTACATGCACCCAAGATAAAAAAAATAATAAAAAAAAACACTTTAATTTTTATCATAATATACATTGCAGCATCACCTCTTTTCTCACAATGTCTGAAACGATTTGATAATGGATCCTTTCTGAGAGCCTGCTCTGCTCTGATTGGTCAGATGGCCCAGTCTGTTGTGGTCATGGTGTACAATAACAAAGTAATACTTAAGTACAGTTTTTGTATATTTCTTCTTCCATTTGTACTTTACTACATGTTAAAGAGAAAATGTATATTTTTACTCCTTTCGTTCCATTTGCAGCTGCAAAGTGCAAAATATAATGGAAAGCAATCTTTGCTGATCGGTCATAGCAATATGCAGTTCACAAATGAATCTTTGATCAGTTCGGTTCCTTTGACGAACTGATTCGCCAAGAGGAGTGAATGATTAGTTTTGCAAATCTTTTGGGAGACAATAACTCTATTTGTCATGCACTTTCATCTTTGAAACTCTGCAGACCTTTTACATTCACAAACAGCTATATAAACCACTATATGAAACGCAATATCTGAAAAAGCATAATAGGGGTGCTTTAAAAAAAGATCACACACTAACAGGTCACTCACACTCATTTCATGGTAGAATTTTTTTTAAATAATATGTATAAATGTTTACTTAGTATCTTAGTGCTGTCAAATCGATTTATCTCGATTAATAGCATCTCATAAACGTTTGTGTTTACATAATATGTGTGTGTGTGTGTGTGTGTGTGTGTGTGTGTGTGTGTGTGTATATATATATATTATTACATTTATATATATGTATATATATATATATATATATATATATCATATATGTCTGTGTGTGTGCGTGCGCGTATATACAGTATATGTGTATAAATATGTGTGTGTGTATATAATGATAGATAAGTAGGTTGTAGACTGGATTATAAATACTGCTGATTAATAAAAAAGGTGTCTTTACTCTTGGACAGCGCGGGCGATAGTCAGGGCAGTGGATCCTGTTTCATTCACACTCTCCAAGGTCACGTTGGGCAGGTCATCATCCTCGCTGTCACTCAAAGATCGCCGCGGTGACAGTCCATCTGCGATTCGGTGTGTGACTGGATAAAAACAGAAGTTTGGTGCAGTTGAATTTTCAATATGCACATATGATTAAATAATTCCACAACTTACAATCAGTCTACGATCAGATACTGCAGTCCAAACAAACCCAGTGTTGGTTTTCTGTACTTGATTCAGAGTTTGTACATGGATTACTGTAGCATAATTCATACTGTATGTGACCTCTGAAATGCTGGTGTTTGATGAGAAATGATTCAGTTATGTGGACACTGACTCTACAGTTTGATTCTATGGCCGTAGCACAATAGACACAAAAAAACAAACTAAGATTATAATTTAATGGCACTTTGATTAATGTTTGAATAAAAGCTTTGATAGACAGCAGAGAATTTCCTTAAAGGATGGACAGTGTTTTAAGAAACTTCAGAGATTTGTTTTCATAGAGACAATAAAATCACCATTAAAGTAGTACATATGAAGTTATCTGTAGTCATAAAAATACCTTTGTGTGATACACAGATCAAAATTTAAGTTTAAAATTAAAAAGTAAATGTAATTAACATTTAAATTGAATTTAATTTGTATTGTAAACTAAGACTATTAAACATATTTTTTGTTAATTGAAATAAAGCTGAAATATGACATTTAAGTTTTAAATTTTAAATGACATCAGTGTAGGTATTGTAAACTAAATTATTCAAAATCATTTTTGTTAATTGAAATAAAGCTGAAATATAAATATTAGATTAAAAACTTAAACACAAATTATGTTGCCTTGGCAACTAACTGAAATAAAATAATTTGAAGTACTAAAATGACTAAAACTGAAATAAAAAAGAAAGCTAAATGGAAAAAAGACTAAAGCACATAACATAATTATAAAAATATAATAAAATTATTTAAAAATATTATTAATAGTATATAAGAATGGTGAATAGATATAAGAAGAATGGTGATATAAGAACTGATTTACATTTGATTATCCACTGATAATATCAACCTCAGCGGTGTAACCTGAGCAGGTTTGATGTTTTGATGTTCAGTTATGAGAATCTCAAGAACGTGATGTCCACTTTGCCATGTGAAACGACATGCACATGAGTAAATAATGACAACATTGTACTTTTTGATTGAACTCAACTGTTCCTAGCTCAAATGAATGACAGAATAGTTCACTCTATTCCTATAATAAGAGAGCTTGGCATGTTTGTATTGGTTTGTTTTGTTTTTGTTTGGTTGTAATAGCATTTCCAAAGCTCTTTGTTGTCTTCGTGTCATTCCATGTCCTGTCTTGTTGCCATGGATACTTCATGAGAGACTGCAGAGCATAAGGGCACGGACCCTCAAGATAGGGGGCTGGTCTCTGTGTGTGAATCGTGAATGTTTTAATGAACTGAAATTGGATCATCAAAGTGTGAACTGCACAGGCCTAATTATGTGTCAACCTGCTTGTTTGCACACACACTGTGGGCTTCTGATGTAGATACATAAATGCCCTTCTCTGACTGGTCAGTCTATAGCAAAAAGCGCTCTGAGACACAACACACACACACACACACAAATTAATGCAGAGACTTATATGACATAGGACATCTCCAACCTCTATCTAACCCCCCCCCCCCCCCCCCCCCAAAAAAAAGGATGGAAAAAAAGAGAAGAAAGAATGAATGGAAATACATCCTAGCCACAGAGCCAATTAAAAACAGCTTTGTTGCCCAGAGGCAAGCTTTCAGAAAAAAGGTTTGAGTATGAGCTTGTGTGTGTGCGTGTGTGTGTGTGTGTGAGAGAGAGAGAGAGAGAGAGAGAGAGAGAGAGAGAGAGAGAGAGAGAGAGAGAGAGAGAGAGAGAGAGAGAGAGAGAGAGAGAGAGAGAGAGAGAGAGAGAGAGAGAGAGAGAGATAGCTGGGGGTATTTAAGTGGCTTACCTTATAATGAATCAAACTGATATTAATTTTAGAACATATTGCAAATATATATATATATATATATATATATTTTTTTTTTTCTAATATATATTATTTTGTGTGTATGTGTGTCTTTATTGCAGATGCTATTGTGTTTCCACATACGCTTTGTTCCTAATAAACCAAGTGCCCTCGTTTAGCTAAGCGAAGTTTTTGCCATAGCATCTACTTCCTGCGGGGATTTAGCAGCCGCATGTTTTGAGGAATATAAAGAGCCGAGCACAATGGAGCTGCACTTATAAGAGCTGAGCCTGTCTAACACACAGCTGGGCTCTGGATTCTGTCACTGACCCTGCCAGCAACACGGAAACTCGAAGAGAGGCTTTTAAAACGCAGTGCTTTGCACCTACAGAGGAGGAGAGGAAAGTGGTGAAAGGAGGAGAATGAAAGACTTTGCAGAAGGATGGATTTCTTAACCTCACCCACCGCTTTTCTATGTCTGTCAAATACATGATGTCAAGACGAGTCGGCTCGCTTGCTGGTGTACCTGATGAGTTCGGGATAAATGACTTCAAATGCAGTTTATCATCGCACAATAAAAAGAAAGCACAGGCTTTTGTATCGGGTTGTTATGTTTAAACACTAAATATAATGGTTGAAGATGAAAAAAGTAGTAAAATTACAAGTGGAAGTCGGAAATTCAACGTCATTAATATTAACATTAACACAATGGAAAAATGTGTTACGGATGATTTCTGCAGATATTGTGATTTTGTGTGCTTTTCTTAAAAGAAACTTTGGCTGCATGTTGTCTGTATTTAACAGAAAAAAAAATAAACAAAACAAAATCACAGAAATGAACAAAGGTTTATTCATAAAGAATGACAAGCACTATTTTAATACATTTTTCTTAAAACATCCACTGTGCTGTATTCTACTATTGCTTTTGTTTGTTTCCAACCTACGTAGATGTTTTGCTTTTAGACGATCTTTCAAAACATTATTTTGTACATGCGGTTTACAGCAGAGATTGATCCGACTCAAAGTGTTAATTTAGATATTTTTATCATTGAGATACTGTTGTGGGTTTTATTAATATTTTGAATTGGTTATTATTTTTGAGTTTTCCTTTTTCATTTTAAATTTGTGAAAGTTTTAGTCATTTTGTTGTGCTTCTTGCCATTTTTATGTCTAGTTTTTATACATTTTTATTTTAGTTTTAGTTATTTTAGTACATCAAGTTAAACTAAATATAAATGAGAAACACCTTTTTTATCATATGCTGGGAATTTGCCAAAATAGGAGGTTCGTGTCACAGACAGTTCAGTAAGTTTGACAGACAAATTGATGTATAACAACAGGGCTTATCAGCTCAGTAATTTAATTGGCTAACAGCTTGAGGCTGTCTACATGACTGCGACAGTTGCAAATCCATTTTTCTTCATGCCTGATTTTGCCATGTTGTGTCACACCTCGTCGCATCCAATGTAGACAGCATCACTGATTATAATGGGTTCTATGCAGGGTTTGAAATGAACTTTTTCACTCACCAGCCAATTTGGCTACAAAATTTTTAAGTTACTGTCCATTCAGAACTTCTACTAGCCAAAAAAAGAAAAAAAGAAGAAATAAACCAGATTAACTGTGCCACAGCATATATATATATATATATATATATATATATATATATATATATATATATATATATATATATATATATATATATATATATTAACTTTAGAGGAGTATTTAAGAATATATAACATCTATATATATATATATATATATAATTTGGATTTCATACATTTATTTCGTATTCAAACAAAATCCTGTCATCCAGCCTTTCCTCCCTTCCTCTTTCATTTCATCCTTATCACCACAAATGTATTTTAGGTGGACAGATCAATACAGGATGTTGGAAAATAAAATGTCTTTTCTGTTACCAAAATGCTTTTTTTAATCTTCGCTATTGCTTCAATGCAAATGAACAAGCACGCGCCGTTATTTGTTGCGTAGTGACGTGCATGTTCAAGTAAGCCAGATTTGCGCAGATTATATTTAATATATCACGATGACTCTCGAGTTGAGAATTTGCGCTAAATCGGAGCAGATTTGGCTTACACGAACTTCCCCAGCAAAGTGAGTAAACAATATAATAAGTAGCACGCCAAATTTGCTAGGGATTTGACAGCTGATTTTTACTCGCATTTGGCGGGTGTTAATTCCAAACCCTGGTTCTGTGTGCTTTTGTCTTTGGTGTAGACACGGTGTAAGATGCTTATGTCTCACCTTTCCTGTGCATCCTGTTTTCCTCTAGCAGCGGCATCATGAGCCTGCTGTTACCCAGCGATCTCACCCCAGTGTAGATCAGCGGCATGGGCTGCATCACCACCGGCACCCGCCGTGGGTGGAGGTGGATCGGGCTGGAGCAAGGAGGCATCAGCTGGGGTATGTGCAAAAACGACTGCCCCCGGAGACTCCTGGATGGGGGAGATGCCAGCACTGGGCCAGAGCAGGACGGAGACATCTTCAAACGAGGAACTGGGGTTATCACTGAAGTGGAGGAAGATGAAGGCATGGATAATGATGACGGTGATGAAGATGACAGAGACTTGCTGGAAGGAGGGGACCGTGGACAGAATCGTATTGATGATGAGGACGAGGACGAGGGAGACGAGGATAAAGATGACGGTGCTGAAAGTGACGGGGAGGTTCTGGCTCTGTTGGTGGACAGGTCCACTGGCTCTGTTTGTGTCTGGAAGGGGTCGGACAGGAACCGTCTGTCATCTGACTGTGTCCGAAATCTGCGGTTTAACACCAGCACGCCCATCTCTGTATAGTCATGGATCACAGGAGACTGAGAGGAAAAAGACAGAAGGAGATCAGTTAAATAGCAATTGCTTTTGAAACAGGAGCATCCTAGGATTTTAGAAAATTTAGCTTTTTAAAGAAGCTTTGCCATCATTTACTCTTCCTGATGTCATTCCAAACATGCATGACACAACATACACATCTATTGTGTTCCAAAGAAGAAAGTCATAGGTTTGGGATGACATTAGAGTGATGAAGTGATTAGAGTGAGTTCACATTTCACATTTAAATATTCAGCTTTTATCCAAAGGAGAGCAATAGAAACAATCAAACCAACAATAGGGCAAAAATATGCAAGTGCTGTGACCAGTCCCAATAAGTCTAGCACAGTACACATTGCACGGATATAGATATATAGAATAGTACGTGTTAGCATTAATGGGCCAAGTGTTGATGGAAAAGATGCATCTTCAGCCGTTTCTTGAAAATGGCTGAAGACTAAGCAGCTTGAGTTGGGCAGTCAAGGTAAAGGTCCATGATGTGTATTCAGCAAGGAAATCAATTATAACATTTATAATGTTACAAAATATTTCTATTTAAAATAAACTCTGTTCTTTTGAACTCTCTATTCATCAAATAATTCAGAAAAACACTTTATCACAGTGTATCAGCACAACCTTTTTCAACATCGATAGCAATAAGAAATGTTGCTGAGCACCAAATCAAATAATCAAGTGATAACCAGGTGTGTCACAGACTAGAGGGAAGGATTATACTTAATGTACAACATTTTTAATGACTGGTAAGGGGAGGTTCTGAGTGAAATAACCTCAGATCGCTAACTTTAGGGGGGCTGATATGAAAGACAGGGGGCTAATGCTTCATAAATAGGGACTAGCAACACATACAGTATGTATTGAGAGTATTTATATTGAGCCCATTGCTCCGGGTGCTTGTTCACGGTGTCTTTGTGTTCAATACTCACTGCTGTGTGTGTGCACTTGGATGGATGAAATGTAGAGCACAAATTCTGAGTATGGGACACCACACTTAGCTACACGTCACTTATTTGTTTATTATATGAGAGGAAAACACATCACAAACAAATAATTGAAGAAAAAGCAGTCTTTCAGGCATGTTATCCTAAATTAACATCAGAAAATCGCCAAAACATTCCAGTCAAACATCTCAGAAGCACTCACTCAGACTCAATGAAATCATGGACAAAAAGTGGTCTGCTGGCAGCATTATTTCTAGCCCCAAAATTTCCCTTCTGTTTTTTACTGCGGTTGACTTGGAGGCTGTTCAGCCGAAATGGAACATGTTTTGAAACTTCATCTCTACCCCATTTCTCTCTCTCCGACTCATGCTTCACCTTTACTACCTTCGTATCCCTCCCCTCCTGCACGGCCCACATCCAACCCCTCGAATGGGGGGCTACCAGTCATTATGGCTAATTTTCCGAATCCGAATAGCTTCTGGTGAGGACGGCTGTAGTGGGGAGCAATGCATTTCCAAGAAAAGGGGCTTGGCGTTGAGCCCACTTAAACTAGAGGCATCTGCGCTGCCTGTTGATTTAACACACTTCAAAGATGAGCTGCGTGGCCCACGCACATCCTGCACTCGACCCGAACAACGGCACGACAATGACAACTGTTAAAACGGGTAAAAAAGGGTGCAAAATGTTATGTGTGTGGGTTTAGCTGTACATGAAAATGGAAAAAAGAGAGCATGGGACACGGGGAGTGGGGGAAACACGTGTATATGCTTATTTGGTCAGGCCTGAAAATCTGGCATGTATCCTGAAGACTTCAAGCATGAGACACCTTAATCTAAAGCACTAGAGTAGACAAGCAATACACAGTATGCTAAAGGCAAAGTAAAGCACGGTTACTTGGTGCTAGTAAGAAAAAGTCCTGGTATTTCACTCCAATATATATATATTAAAAAAAATATATATATATTTTGCATAAAGACAATGAAGCTTATTTTTAGGGAGGACCATACAGATTTTTGCATTGTAACATTTATATTCATTACAAGTAGGCACATTTGCCCCCATAATACCAAAATATTAATATCACTGCAATGCCATAAACGATTGTCGGTGTCATGTTCTCATTATTATAATCAATATATATATATATATATATATATATATATATATATATATATAATAATAACCTAATTCATTTGTGAGACAGTCTAACAGAAGGATGGCCAAAACCAGTGAAATATCAACTGATTTGATTCTTGTCATATTTTATTATCATTTTCTAAACTATAGCGAATAAACTGTGATAATGTGAGAAATGTTGAAGGTGTCTGAATAAATTTTGCTTTGACTGTATTGCATGTGGGTGTAAATAATTAGGAAAGTAATTGTCCTGAAATATCACATCTCAATAAAAATTGACTTCCAGTCATCAATGTAGCCTTACTTTATCTAGTAAAGCCTTAATTTATTCAGGCTTTGTGACATTCACCCACCAGAATATGTATAACAGTTAGTTTGATTTGATTGGTCAAGTGGTGTTTCAAGAATGCAGATATCCTATAACAGCACTGGTTTGCATCACTCTGTTTGCCTGCGTTCGCAGTGATCCAAACTGTGTGACTATGCTATTGAGTGTTGGAAGCCTCTGACTACACCGGTGTGGCATCGCTTTGACCTCTTACCCGTCTCTGTGACTCTGCAGGATCGATTTTAACTGGCAGGGCTGGCATCCCATCCAGCATCAACATCCTGATAGCACTGTTCCTGTGAGGCATAGCAGAAAAACAACGTTAGGCTTCAATAACTTGAAGTGTTATATCACACCGTGTTGTTCTGTAGACAGTCAGCCATAGTGAGGAATAGAGAAATCAAATATGTTTGCTATAACTGTGATGACACGTCTTCTCAACCTTAGATTTGTCTCAGATCACATAGGAGCTGTGCTTGGTGACAGTCCAACAGATAAACTGTGAGGATAATAACAGTAAACATATGTGAGAGAGCAAGCCAAATGGTTTTAATAAGCATTCATATATCATTCTTAGAAGTGTTTACTACTGCTTGAGGTATTTTACAGTCATGTTTATCAGAAACGCTGTTTCATTTCACTGTATACATGCGGTATAGAGCTGAAATGATAATAATGCCGAAATGATAATAACGCCACCCTGACTCTGATCAAGATCTGAACAGATGCTTTGACTTCTGAAAAATCAGTTGTTATTTATCATTCAGACAGTTCTTTTTACAGTACATCTCTTATTGTGAGCACAGCAGCTTAAAAACAATTGCCTCACATTTAGTTATTTTAGATTATTTTACAGTAACAGTACTGAATAACATCTGGGTAGCCATTAGTTACTCAATAAGGAATGTTATAATACATAACTTTGTACTGACATTGGCCATGTTGTCACATTCAGTTAAGATGCCATTAAACATGGGTAGTTTCAGCAAGGAAAGAAGCATTATACAGCAGTGTTTACAGCAGTCGTTATACATTTAGTGTGTTCATGATTTAATGTGGCGTGTATGTGCATTTGTGTGAACCTTGCACACACTTTTTAAATGAAAAAGTGAACTGTCCATGTACTAAATGTCAACAAATAGCTTCCAATTTCCAGACAGCAGGAAATTAGAGGTGTGAAACATTTACACTTGCACAAATGACTAGAATTCAAATGGACAAGCTGTTAATTTCACTACTAGAGAATCAACCTCTGCTAGCAAATACTAGTGCCCTGCTTCAGTAATGCCATTATAAATGTATCTGGAAGGCAATGGGCCAAATTTACCCTGGATCTATTGATTAAAATCTTCAATACAACTATTCAATGAGGGTGATTTTAACTTCTGAATTAAAATGAATTTGTTAACATCAAAAATGTCATGGCGATACAACTTTACTAGTATCATATTGAAGAAAAAACTAAAAGAAAGAATAAAATTCTTAAAATAAATCCATAAAGCAGTTTGGCACAATCTCTTATTAATATATCTTATAAAAATGTTTTAACAAAACCACTTCACTAATTATTAATATTTGAAAGTCAAAAAAAGTCAAGTCATGTGGTGAAACCAACATGGAGGCAAAAAAAGTAATTATCAGTAATATCAAAGATATGACAAGTCTCTTCAAATAGTTGATCATTTGACTTTTTTATGACAAAACAAGTTTGTAAGTCAGGTTGTAAAACATCAAATTGTGAGACTCTCAAAAAACTTTATGAGTTTAATAATTAAAAAAAAACTTTTACCTTTAAAAAAATATTTTTACTTAATGGTTCATTCAGTTTCAAAATTTCATAAAATGGTACAAACATGTACATAAAACAGAGTGTACATAAGAACATGGCACATCGTGAACACTTTTATTTGTCCGTGACCTTTATCACATTTGAGCAAATTCTTAAAGGGGTCATCGGATGCCCATTTTCCACAAGTTGGTCGGATTCTTTAGGGTCTTCGTGTAAAGTTTGTAATATACTTTGGTTAAAATTCCTCAATGGTTGTGTAAAACAACACCCTTTTTACCTCCTCAAAACCAGCTCTGTTCACAGCGACTCGTTTTGGTGCATGTCTCTTTAAATGATAATGAGCAACTGAATTTTTTTTTTTTTACTAAAACTAACACAGAAGAATAGGCAGCATTGGCTCACAAACTTGCATGAAGTGCATTTGGAAGTGTTGCATAAGTCTGAATGCTCCATTGGCTATTGGAGGTCATGGTGTTAGTCCTGTCTCATAACTCGGCATCACTGATAAATAGAGGAGGTGGATTATATCTGGAAATCACCTGATTTCTTCCTGTTACTGCAGTGCTTGCAGATTCATTAGAGAGACTGGAAACTGCTGACTGTTTTGGCTTCTGTTGACCTGGTTAGTTTAGACCTGCCTCTCTGTGTGTGTGTGTGTGTGTGTGTGTGTGTGTGTGTGTGTGTGTGTGTGTGTGTGTGTGTGTGTGTGTGTGTGTGTGTGTGTGTGCGCGCCGTAATCCTTGGCAGACAGGAAACGGGTGGGGTCCGAAAGGCTGTGCCCACTTAAAATCCCAACTTCCAAATGCTGTGTATATCCATGTGTGCCTGGGTTTTCAAAACAGAGAACGCCCAAACCCACATTAATGGCACCAATCTGAAGACACTTCACTTCCCCATGAGTGCTCCTACCAGAGAATCTCGACTTTAAAGCATTGGTGCACACCACACCCAAGTGCTGATTGACAGCACCCCACGTCAATTGAGCTCCCTACCTAGACAGCATTTATGGCATCAGACCGTAGGTGCACTCTCAAAACAAAGGCTGTTCCAAAATGTAAAAGGTAACACACTGAACAACCAGCTAAAACTAGCTGAACAGCAGCTTGGCCAGGGTGGGAGGCAAGCTTGACCAGCTTAAACCAGCTAAAACTATAAATATATTTCATTCGGTACTGAAAAGTAGTTTTATCTAATGGCAAATTCATGGGTGTTATTAAAGTATTAAGTCATTAGCTTAGCAACATGCTAACCTCAAAATTGAAAACGAGATCTAACAAAGCAAATCATCCTTGGTACATTTCACTCAGAGAGAAAGCAGTGACTCCACATTTTTTGTGGGGAAGTTGGCAAGTATCATCAGAATGTGACCTTGGGTCGGAGCTGCTTCCTGCCCACTGCCATGCTACTGATAACCAGGCTCAAATCTCACCAACAATGTCTCCTGTACAAACATCTTCCTCATCTCCACTCTTCCCTTTTCTCCTTCCTCCTCAGGAAAGATAACAGACACAACTTAGTCTCTTTACTCACAAAACTTTAAAGACTGCTCCCAAGATCAGACCTCTCCCTTTTAAAATTGATCTTATTAACTATGTGCTGAAAAATTAAGCACACTGCTCTGGATCTGTCCCCAAGATGCAGACTTCTTCTGGATTCTCCTGCTTTGCGTAATTGTCTTTTGCCAAAAAGCCCTGAGTGACTTCAGACTTTCCATTTCAACAGAGCTCATTTTCCTTGGCAGGACAACTTCTGTAGGATAGAGCCAGGACATTGTCAAACCTCCAAGAGAGAAAAAGTGAGGAAGAGAAGAAGAGTGTGTGTGTGTGTGTGTGTGTGTGTGTGTGTGTGTGTGAGAGGAATTGCTCGGGAGAGGTGTGCTATTACACTATTTGAATCAACTGTGAATGCACAGCAACGTTTAAAAAAAAAAATTGGCCAGACCCTTGAAGTAAAACAATGCCAGGAACAGATGTGGCCACTAATATAAACATTCCAGTCTTCTGTACCGACTCTTCTTGTTCAGCAGATCTCTGAACAATTTCATCTGAACTTGTGATGCCACTAAATATGCTCATAAACAATATTCTCTCATTCTTGGTTCCTGTTAGAATATTCTCGTTTTGTTCCTATCCATGTCTCGTTATTGAGGAGATCTACTCTATCAGTGATTGAACTGTGGTAAATGTGGTTCCCAGGTGGGAAATTTCTCTCTCACAGACAGACAGACAGACAGACAGACAGACAGACAGACAGACAGACAGACAGACAGACAGACAGACAGACATAATTCACTCAACCAATTTGTTAAAAAAAACATGGACTCAACACCACTACTGTGTTGCTCACAATCTCTCAAATTCTGCTGTGTCTACCGGTAATTTTGTGTCTAAATATACGTTCAATATTAACTTTTAAAGGATAATGTAACTGTTGTATGCAAGGGATAATGCACAGCCCCCATGGATAATGTTTACATCACCCCATTTATTACAGAGCTACTTGCCACAGAAGTAAATAATTCAACACAAAATAGTGATTTGAGTTAAAAAGTTGTAAAACAAACTCAAAGCTTCTGCAAAGATAAAAGTTATTACCAAGCTCCTTAAAGCAAAGACAAACATATAATTAAAGGATAATGTACTGTCCTCACACACGGCTTCTCATCAAGCAAATAATTATTCTTATTCATTATATTAAAAAAGTATTACACTAAGGATCTTTCAAAACAAATGATCTGACAACGAGATGAAAACTACAACAATATTACTGTAAAATGAATAATGACAACCTCTGAGGTTATTTTCAGAGAGCATGTCCGAAATGTGATAAAAGAGACAACCAAATAGCACTGGTTTCAGTTACGCTGATAAGCGTTCTGATATGTGGGCGGTTATCAAAAAATATCAGACCGATGAATGGTGAAATCGACCAATCAGAATCAGGTCGTCCAGAGAGTTGTGTAATAAAATAGGCAATTGCATTCTCACAATTACGCTATTGTTCCGAATATCAGAAAGGCTTTTTTAACTATATATTTACGGTTTTACTTCTGATCTATCTAGCTTGAACAGGTATATGTTGCGGACAGTCCATACACAAGCACTACGAGAGTTGTCAATTTGTTAAGTTCTAAAAAAAATGTTAACAATTCTTAAAAGAACAATCAAACGTTGCCCAAAAACTTTGATAAAACACAACACTAAATGGTAGTTGGAGAATTCATTGAGTCAGTGATCGTTCAGGGACTCTTGATCAAACTGACTGACCTCTTGGCGGCCCATTTCACGCACCTAGTGGTGATCGGTAGTTGTAAAGAGATTTTGGCTACAATAATAAACATTCTAGACATGATGTTGATATATGAAACCCTTGAATGCTCTTCATGGATGAAATGGCCTTCTCTCTCAGCCTCACAATCGATGCTTTGTGTGAAGATTCATCTGCTCCTCGCAGTCTTTAAAGTAAATAAACACTACAGAACGTCTCCTGCAGATTCCTCAAATTTAG